GTGTATGGGGCAGTGTGTGTGTTTGGGGGCAATGTGTCTGTGTATGGGGGCAGTGTGTCTATATAGGGGCAGTGTGTGTGTGTATGGGGCCAGTGTGTGTGTGTTTGGAGGCACTGTGTGTATGGGTGCAGTGTGTTGTGGGGGCAGTGTGTGAGTTTGTGTGTGTGTATGGATGCAGTGTGTGTGTACGGAGGGTATTGTGTATATATAGGGGCAGTGTGTGTGTATATGGGGCAATGTGTCTGTGTATGGGGCAGTGTGTGTGTTTGGGGGGCAGTGTGTGTGTTTATGGGGGCAGTGTGTGTATGGAGGCAGTGTGTGTGTGTGAGGGGGCAGTGTGTGTATGTGTGGCAGTGTGTGTGTATGGGGGCAGTGTGTTGTGGGGGCAGTGTGTGAGTTTGTGTGTATGGGTGCAGTGTGTGTGTACGGAGGGCATTGTGTGTATATAGGGGCAGTGTGTGTGTATGGGGGTCAGTGTGTGGTTTTGTATGGAGCAGTGTGTGTATGGGGCAGTGTGTGTATAGGGGTAGTGTGTGTGTATGGGGGCAGAGTGTGTGTGTGTATTTGGGGTAATGTGTGTGTACAGGGGAGAATGATTGTGTGTGGGAGTATGAGGGGTTGGAGGGTAGATTAATATATATATATATATATATATATATATATATTATTTTTTTATTAAAAGAAAAATAGTCATTTTAAAATCCCCCCTCCTTGCTTGCTTGTGTGTGTATGGAGGCAGTGTGTGTGTGTATGGAGGCAGTGTGTGTGTGTATGAGGGCAATGTGTGCGTATGAGGGCAGTGTGTGTGTACGTGTCATCCAGAGATAAACCCCAATAGTATGTGTGAGGGATGCAGTGTGTATGTGTATGAGGGGCAGTGTGTGTGTGTATGGAGGCAGTGTGTGTGTGAATAGGGGCAATGTGTGTATGGGGCAGTATGTATGGGGTCAGGGTGTGAGTTTGTGTGTGTGTATGAGGTAGTGTGTGTGTGTGTGCAGTGTGTGTACGGAGGGCATTGCGTGTATATAGGGGCAGTATGTGTGTATGTGGGGCTGTGTGTGTGTATGGGGGCAATGTGTCTGTGTATGGGGGCAGTGTGTGTTTGGGGGGCAGTGTGTGTGTGTTGAATGGACAGTGTGTGTATGGGGGCAGTGTGTGTGTATGGACAGTGTGTATATATTTTTTTTTTTATTAAAAGAAAAATAGCAATTTTGATATCCCCCCTCCCTGCTTGCTTGTGTGTGTATGGAGGCAGTGTGTGTGTATGGGGGGCAGTGTGTGTGTACGTGTCAGCCAGAGATAAACCCCAATAATATGTGTGAGGGATGCAGTGTGTGTGTGTAGGGGCAGTGTGTGTATGGAGGATAGTGTGTGTGTATGGGGGGCAGTGTGTGTGTATGGTGGCAGTGTGTGTGTATGGTGGCAGTGTGTGTGTTTGTGTGTGTATTGGGGTAGTGTGTGTGTAAAGAGGCAGTGTGTGTATGGGGGGCAGTGTGTGTGTACGTGTCAGCCAGAGATAAACCCCAATAATGTGTGAGGGATGCAGTGTGTGTGTGTAGGGGCAGTGTGTGTATGGAGGATAGTGTGTGTGTATGGAGGCAGTGTGTGTGTATGGGGGGCAGTGTGTGTGTATGGTGGCAGTGTGTGTGTTTGTGTGTGTATTGGGGTAGTGTGTGTGTATGGGGGGCAGGGTGTGGTTGTGAATGGGTCAGTGTGTGTTGGGGCAGTGTGTGTATGGGGGGCAGTGTATGTGTGTGTATGGGGGCAGTGTGTTTGTATGGGGGGCAGTGTGTGTGTATGGTGGCAGTGTGTGTGTATGGGGGGCAGTGTGTGTGTATGGTGGCAGTGTGTGTGTTTGTGTGTGTATTGGGGTAGTGTGTGTGTATGGGGGGCAGGGTGTGGTTGTGAATGGGTCAGTGTGTGTTGGGGCAGTGTGTGTATGGGGGGCAGTGTATGTGTGTATGGGGGCAGTGTGTTTGTATGGGGGGGCAGTGTGTGTATTTGTATGGGGAGAATGATTGTGGGTCTGTGGGGTTGGAGGGCAGATTAATAAATATATTTTTTTTTAATTAAAAGAAAAATAGTAATTTTGATATCCCCCCCTCCCTGCTTACCTTTGCCTGGGAGGGGGGACATTTCCTGCAATCCCTGGTGGTCTGGCAGGGAAGCCCTGGTGGTCCCAGTGGTGAAAGTGAACTCTAGCAGCCTCAGGAGCTGCTAGATTTCACTCTCGCGAGATTCGGAGCATTGTAACAGTGGCAACGC